CGGGATCTCATGCATAGGATATATTGCACCTGTTCACTATTCTATTGTTTGAGCTGTACGTGGAGAATAGAATAATAAAGCGAGATGTTACATACAGAAAAGGCGCAGCTAAGAAAGAGATACGTATTCTGATTTCACACGGAATGAACACAGCACATAATTTGCATGCATTGTGGAAATAAATGCAGTAAGCACACGTTTAATTTGATGGATAGCAAAATACCCCTTTATTATCAGCTAAAATATGCTTTATATGATGCAGATTTCAGACATGGATCTTGTATATGTATCTAGAAAAGCCAGGACGGCTTACAATTTGGAACAGAAGGAGTATTTATTTGATGATATAACCTCCAGGTTGCATCTTCTGAACTCCTAAACTGTGTTGGAATCAATCAGTCACATTCATACTTGCTCCTTGTAAAGCTGATGAACTATATTTATTGGACTGGAGGTGTTTGATGCCTAAGAACCTTTCCATGGATGCTGACCAATCCTGTAAGCATTTTTTTTGAGCTCTACTCTTGGGGAACATAAGTCAAAGAATTTGCTTGATTTTCAAGTATTTTGAAATATACCCACAATAATTGTCATTTGGCCCCGCAGTCGTTATCGATGACTCATGGAGTGGTGAGTGGTGACGCAGGCTTGCTTTCATATCAGGATGGCTCTTTTATGCCTTTCCTGGGCATTTTTATCCTTTTCTTTTGCATTTTAGGCAAGTTCGTTTTTTCGAGAACGTGAAACGTGTCCGTAGACACGAGTTTCATTAAGATGAGGCATGTCGTTGTTCGTCACATACAATTAAAAAGGTAGATTTTTTCAGTAGGTAATAGTGAATTTGATGAGTGAAATTAATTTGAAAACCGCAAGGTTTCTCATCGTTTCTTATCTCCCTTTCCCATCATACTGCTTGTGCACGTCCCATGAGTCATGATTTCAGAATATGGTACGGTATTTCCTAATATATATGCCCACTGTTGCAGGTTTTTTGTTGGATTGAAACTCAAGGGTGTCATGAACACGTGTCTGGTGAAAAGGTGTACAGATTTGCAATCAAAGTGTGACGCTGGATCAAAGGAGAGTAGAGGCCAGAAGCAATGACAAAGAAAAGTATGTATATATTTGCCATCACTCGCATTCTCAAGAATCTTTGCGAAAGTAAGCTGTCATTTAGCTAGCGCTCCCTACCGTGCCGGTTTGCTTCGTCTTCAAAAAAACAAAAACTGTACTGGTTTGCTGGTGAAGTTGGCTTGTCTGCAACAAGGAAATGGCCATGGTGATACAGCACTTCCCTCCCTAGTCGTCACAGATGCTTCGGTCAATCAATCAGCCTTTGCAAAAGATGGTAGCTTACACATTTTTACTGGGCTACGGGAAAAGTGGCCCATGTGTTTTAGTGGGCTGAGATGAATGGGCCCTGTGAATGCGAAGCAAGTCCAGATTTTTGGTCCACTATTGGGGGAGGGAAGCGACCGGTCCCATACTGGCTACTGTTCTACCGGCCTTTTCCAGCTTATATGAACATTGCAAGGCCCAACTGCTACTGCATTCCAGGTCTTTTTCCCCCCTCTCTCAATAGAATCAACTGAGTTTTTCATATTTCTAGCGTATATAAGAGTAGCGAGTTTCTGCTTACCTCTGCCTTTTTCTTGTGAGCAGGCAGAGTTTGGGCATGCGTACCCATTCACTAAATCGATCAGGGCAGCATCCACAACCGGTCAATGATCCAAGTGAGGCGTAGCAGGTTACTTGCACACTGTTTTGGAACGGCCATTGCACGTCAGGTAAGTTGGATTACCAACTGGTTGGTACGTACAGTAGCTAGCTTAGCTTAGGTGTTCTTGCCATCTTAGGCCCCGGAAGTACTGCTCGCAAATAAGGAAGAAAACCAACAAGAGCGTAACTGCTACGGGATCGGACTCGCCGCCAATAATTGAGTTCTCGCCATGCATGCTCATCAGGCGCGTGGGATTGATTCTGTCAGGCGGGCGCGGAGCGGAGCAACGAAAACGCAAGCAAGCGAAATGATGGAACGACATGGAGGGATTCCTGGTGATTCCATCAGAGATTTGACGAGACCAGCAGTCTGGTTGCTGGAGTGGGACTCGGGGGTCGGCGGGCCCCGGGCCAGCACTCATCTGCGGCCGACGAGGCGACGAGCCGAGCCATGGCTTGGACGGGTGCATCCGTGCATGGGCGCCTTGCGCTAGCTAGCTGTATATATGGGCATGCAGCCTGGCCCAAAGCCCGCATTTTTGGCCCGGCCCGAGCATGGCCTGGCTCGGTGGCAAGCAGGCCCAGGCTGGCCCGGCCCGTAGGAGCAGGCCGTGCCTGGGCCGCTACTCAAGCACGACAGGCGGCATGGCCGGCACGACATTTATAAAAAGGCCCGGTGGCGGCCTGGTGATCTCCACGGCCTCCTAAGAGCCCACCCTGTTCCCTAACCCTAAGCCCACTGCTAACTCATTCCCCCCTCACCCCTCACCCCGGCCGCACTCCCTCTCGTGCTCGCGGTCGCTCGCTCTCGCCTCCCGCTCGCGGCTCTGCACCACCGACCATCTCCTCCACGCCCTCCCTCGTGCAGCCGCATAGCCCAAGACGGCTTCAAGCACGGCGGCGATAGCACACCGGCTTCCTGCGCGGCGGCTCCCATCCCTGTCCTAAGTCTCCTCTGCGATGCTGCCAGGCTCCTAGGCGCCGCCGTTCTCCCTCCACGCAGGCATCCTCCATGGATTTGGTCTGGATCTGTCCTCTCCGACCTATCCTCGGCGGGAGGCAGTCTCCGCGCCCCCGCTCCACCGGCCGGCAGCCGCCTCCTCGTCCACGCCCCCCCCCACGCGGGCGCACCGCAGGCATCGGCCTTGTGGCGTCGAGCGTGTCGGCCTCAAGCGCCGACGGTGGCGCCCTCCCGGCCTCCCTTTCCCTCTCTGCTCTTTCTCTCTATCAGTAGTGGGCCACAGGTCGGGCCGGCCTGCTAGCCTGGCCGTGCTTTTCGGGCTGGCACGGCACAAAAGATGGTCTGGAGGACCGTGCCTGGGCCCAAAGCTCATGGCCCGTGCCGGGCCGGCCCGTTGCCCATCTAGCTGCACGCGGTCTGCGACAGTGGCACTGGCACGGCACCCATGCATGCGCCAGCTCGATCGAACCCCCGCGATTCGCGCCGAGCTCCGACCAGATTCAGGGCCGCAGTAGTCAGTCAGTACCCTACCCTGCCTCGTAGGTCCCGCCATGCATGCAGCATGCATGCGTAGGAGTATGTTTGTTTTACCGTTACCGTGCTTGGCTGCTTGCCTTCGTCTTTTTGCACTTGCACGGACCTGCCCTAGTCTTATACTACAGTTAGCATTTTACTGCCTTTTTTTGCATATATAATATCCTGGTGCCTGAACTTTTACTGTCTTAACACCTCCCCAAATGCTGCTGGGTAATTAACGACAAATCTGCCATTAATCTCCTCGCTCGGAATCCATGAAATGGACATTTGAACTACTGTACCTCGCGAACAACCTAAATACTCGAGGTGTGGATTTGGTACTTTATAGACTAAATTTTAGGTCTAGATTCCAAAGAGGTGGCCTAACTAATTTTTAGTTTCCAACCCAACTAATAATAACCATTAGTTCGTTAGCTGGCAATTGTGGACTAATATGGACTATATGAATGGTGCACATTAGTCTGTCCATTGCTTGTAGTAATCCATGTATAGTACTGGACTATCTAAGTTTTAGTCCACCTAAACTTGTTTTGGATGATTTAAATAGGGCCTAACAACATTGGACATTCTGTATAATATAAGCATATATTTTCTCCATCACACAAAAGGAGTGCATATCACGCTTTTCGATGAGTAAAAAAACTTAAATATAATTAAATAAATATAAGAAGACTAATATTTATGGTACAAAACAAGTAAAATAGGATTAACCACATGTAGTTTATTTTTATAGTAAACCTAGATACGAATGTTGATAATATTTTCTATAAATATGATCAAACTTAAAACTTCTAAGAAAATAATGTAATGTGCATTTTTTGTTTTGAACATAGGGGGAACTCAGATAGTCGGATCCATTTGGGGTGAGCTAACTTCATACGCACATCAACAGTAATATGCATGAACACAAAGGCCAGGTACGTACCGCATAAAATACCGCGAGAAAGAAAGGATTGCACAAAAGGACGACGTGATAAGGGAAGGCTTTAAGTCCCATCCGTACAGTTCGACATGGGATTTTTTGACCATTATATCCTTTGGTTATATTTCAGATGAAACACCATAGGAGTCTGCGTTCTGCATATAGGACTATAGGACACACACACGCACACACACACCATGCATGCATCTATGAACAATGCCGGGTCGATTGTACCTGCATATATATAAAAGCTCCCTGACCAGTGGGTAGGCAGTGCAAATTACAGCTGTTTGGTGGTTAACAGCGACTTATGCTGACGGTCATAGTACTTTGTTGTTCACTTTCTATATGTCACGCGATCTCTTTTGCAGTTTTGCTGTTTGCTCGTTATATATACTAGTCCATCACGCGCGCCACCGCACGCGCCGGTAAATCATCCGGTTAAGGCGCATGTAAAAAATATGTTTAATACTTGCACGGAAACAATATTATGAGTCTAATGTAGATACGTCATACACAAAAACTTAAAGATTTGATCTCTTTTTAGATTTAATACGTTAAAACTATTCAGAATTCTAAACATGAAATGCTTGATGTGGTAGATCACATTTCCTAGCAAATACAAAGAAGGCAATGCAATAAATTATTTCAGGTCTTCACACCGCATGAGAAATATTCTAAAGCTTCAGTTTTCACACCGACCATCAACCATGAGTATTGATGTTTTTTTTGTCTAGAGTCACATAGAGACTAGAAATTGGAAGAAGTGAGGAAATGCCATTTACCTTACCCAGTTAATAAGGCAATCAAGCTAATCCTAAAGAGAACCTGCATGCTTTTGATAAATAAAAAGAAGGATCCTCACTGATCAAATTGGCAAGCATTGATGCGAACAACAATCCGATTACAAGGACAAAAGATGTGTTTGATGCCAGATTTCTTTACAAACCAACGCAAATTTTTTCCTGTTCCCCAAATAATCAATTAAGCTAATGCTATACACACACATAGCTTGATCTGTAGTAGAAAGGACAGGTGAATAATTCAAACCGACCTTCTCGAAGAATGTGTTGATGGTTTTCCCAAAACTCAGGCCCTATGATATCAACATGCGCAGCTGTAACTTGCAATCTTGGTCTTTTTATGGGTTCCCCATAGTCATCAATCTTCACAGCTGTTTCTACCTACAGTTATACGCAATACATTATAAGAAAGATGTTGTCTTGCATGACTGCTAACATTTGCAGCATCACCTTCTCTCGGTAAACACTACATCCTTTGCGGAACATAGCCGGTTCATCATCATAGTTTATTTGGAATTGTTGAGCAAGCAGCTCATTCTTGTCTTTTGCAAATGTTCCCTAGAAAAACAAAACTTGAACTAAAACATTTATACCATTGTGATAGAAAGGTCACCAACTCAAGAAAATTTGTACTACCTTCAAAGCTAGCTGAAGCTCTTGTTCACTTTTTGCAGACTTCACCAACATCCAGAAGCAGGTATTGTACTGATTATTTATATGACATGAAAGGCATAAACAAAGAATATGCATATCAGTGAACTAATCGAATTATTGTTCGATTCTGACACGTATATAGATCGCTCTTTTCTTTTTATGTTTGACAAGAAGGTTCATGCTTTCTACAACTTTGGTGGGTATGATGTGGTTTTCTTGTAGGACTTGAGGGCAAAAAAAAGTTGCGCAAATAAATATGAGGTCTCATTTGCTATACAAGAAAATTTGAATTGCAGTTCCAGTAGCTTACGCCGAGAGTCACATAGAGGAGAGGGAGTTTAGGGAAGGGAGGGAGGAGGGAGAGGCGCTGCTGCAGTTTAGGGTTTGGCCCATACCTAGGGTTTCGCCCGAGCAAAGGAGCTCACGCCCCCATTGGAGAAAGGCATTGAGGAGGCCGTGCGGAGGATGGGGGAGAGGAAGGACGCGACCGGGCCCCACCCACGCCGGCGCGGCGGCCGTAGGGGGCGGCATTCCCTCGCGCTCACCGCCGCCTCGGGAGGGAAGGGGAGAGAGGGAGAGTAAGGGGAGGGAGGGCAGAGGAGGAGGAGGAGGAGCAGGATGGGCGCCGCCACCGTGGACCGGTCGCAGCAGGCGGGCGGTGGAGACGGGGAGGGCTCGCGCTGGATCCGGCTACTCGGCGCAGATCCACCGCCTCCGTTGGGTGTGCGAGGTCGACGCCGTGCTCCAGCCTCAGATCGGTCGCCGGGAGGGGCCCCGCGAGCGGCCGCTCCAGGTCCACCGCCGAGGTTGCTGACGTGACCTTCCCGTCGTCATGCACGGCCAGCACGGAGGTTCCTCCGCCGCCAGAGGCCTCCGACGCGTCAGGGCATCCGCTGGCTGGCCGCGCGGCCGTGGGGACGACCGGCGACGGAGGGGCGAAACCCTAGGCAGCGCGACCCGCCGCGTTGCATCGCGAGGAGGAAGTGGCGTGGTGGCGGTGGTGGTGGTGGTGGAGGAGGAGGAGGAGGAGAAGGAGGGAGGCCACCGCCGCGCGGAGGGCGGGCCACCGCCGAGGCCGTCCCGCGCCGTCGCCTGAGCCGCGTTGCTAGCAGGGAGCGAGGGAGGGAGAGAGAGAGCGAGAGAGAGCGGAGAGGAGGAGGGCGCCGGGGCCGGTGAGAGCCGCCGAGGGCTTCGTAGCGGGCGGGCGCGGGCTGTAGCGAGCGACGGAGGCAACACAAGCCGTCGATCGGAGAATCGGACGGGCAGGGGAGTTTCGGGCGACGTGGCCACCCTGGTTGGCGGTCAAAGCTCGCCGGCTTAATGATAGTAAATTCCTCCCTTGAGGCGCGCTGGAGCCCAACAAGGACATCTGATCTATAGGTCAAGATAGCACAGATCCTCAAGGCATTGCCGACTGGCTGGGGACGAGATGGGAGCGGGATCATGTGCCTGAGGCCTGCATGCTGGCTGGCTAGCCGGTGGCTGCACGCCATGAACTGGGCTTTACTGATGAGAGCTAGCTAGATTTGACAGGACGAGCAGAAGACACGGTCTCCTCTCTCATCTGATGAGAGCTTGCTAGGGCCAGGTCCGATGGACGCCGGTGTAGCTAGGCAGCTAGCTGGTGGGCCGGGGGACATACTCTAGCTAAGCTGCTTCTTAATTTGTGTCCCTCTCCCTCATCAAATACCGTTGTAGTGGGTATGGGTTAAATTTCAGCTTAATCTCGATTGTGTCTTGGTCTCTTGGAGTTTGATCGATTGATCTGGTAATTTTTTTCAGGCACATATTTTGAATTGAAGCCTTTTTTTTGGGATTTTTTCGAATATATATCACTTGTTCAGTTATTATAGTTGGATAAGTTCATGGCTTCATGCGTTGGTGCAAAGTTCCAATCCGTATTTGTTAGTGATCTGATCTGATCCTACTCCAAAGTTTACTTTTACAAGCAATTAGAGCATCCTGTCAGATCTCAACTTTACACCTTGATTGGACATGCATCCTTCGAATCATGATAGTGTGTGCATTGTGTGGTTAACTTATGCTGGTACTTGTCACAAGATTGATATGGTCGAAGGCAAGGCCGGGGAGAATTTTTGGTTAACTGTTATCAGCATTGAATGCCTTTTTATTCTCTTATTAGCTACTACTCCGTATGCTACATAGTCTATCTGTTATAGTATACTCCATCCAGTCTAAAATAAGTGCACTTCGAGTATTTGAAATTTGTCTCATCAAAATATATAAATGCACTTCGGAGAGTTGGCCAGGGAGTTAGCGGGACTGTCATGTCCTCCTTTTGGGGACTTTTATCATACCCCTATGTTAGACTCTCGTTAGGTGGGAACCAAAACCAACAGTATTGTATGCCCTGACTCAAAATTAACATAAAGAACACTTAAGTCATTACCCCTTGAATTCGTGCCAAATTTATCTCCAGACTCCATTCCTCCTCCTCCTCCTCCTCCTCTCTCTCTCTCTCTCTCTCTCTCTCTCTCTCTCATCTTGCTCGTGAAGCCCCTGATGCCCCTCCCATTCCTCCTCCACCTGTCCCTCCTAGGTTGACCATCCACTCGCGGTAGCTATGAGGAGTGGCGGCAGGTCAAGATGTGGCGGCGGTTCCAGCGGGTGCAGGCGGATCTGGTGCATGGTCACCAGGGCAGGTGGATGCGGCTCTAGTGCGCATAGAGCTACTTGGTGTGGGGTAAGCTCTCTAGGCGCGAGCGGAGGAGCTTCTCGGTGCACAGGGGCGTCCCAGGCGTGGGGGTGAGAGGCGGGGAGGGTAGGTGACAACAACAAAAGATGCGCAAGCAACAACAACGGCTTACTCCAGATTGTTTTCTTTTCTTAAGGCACATCACTGCCATTTGTATCACCAATAGTAGTAGCCCCTCACCATCATTGCCAACTATGCACTGCTGGTTCCAAGGTCCGGCAGTGATAGGCCTCTAGAATCGGCAATGATAGGCTTTTAGAGTGATAGCGTTGAAAAGTTGGTTTCACTCAGTTGACGCCGAATAGAGATATGGATCACGCACCAGCAAGGTCTAGCGTGCCCGAGGTTGTAAACAACCTATATCGTAGCAAGAACGCATCGGATCGACGAAACCGGCCGATGAACCGTTTAGGCCGATGTTGAGCCCGTTCTTCGCTCGGTAGACTCCCGAACACTTCCAAGGAGACGTGACGATCAGCACGGCCACCTAGAGCACGTGATGTTGAGCACGTTGTAGTGGGTATGGGTTAAATTTCAGCTTAATCTCGATTGTGTCTTGGTCTCTAGGAGTTTGATCGATCGATCAGGTAATTTTTTTCAGGCAAATATTTTGAATTGAAGCCTTTTTTGGGAGTTTTTCGAATATATATCACTTGTTCAGTTATTATAGTTGGATAAGTTCATGGCTTCATGCGTTGGTGCAAAGTTCCAATCCGTATTTGTTAGTGATCTGATCTGATCCTACTCCAAAGTTTACTTTTACAAGCAATTAGAGCATCCTGTCAGATCTCAACTTTACACCTTGATTGGACATGCATCCTTCAAATCATGATAGTGTGTGCATTGTGTGGTTAACTTATGCTGGTACTTGTCACAAGATTGATATGGTTGAAGGCCGGGGAGAATTTTTGGTTAACTGTTATCAGCATTGAATGCCTTTTTATTCTCTTATTAGCTACTACTCCGTATGCTACATAGTCTATCTGTTATAGTATACTCCATCCGGTCTAAAATAAGTGCACTTCGAGTATTTGAAATTTGTCTCATCAAAATATATAAATGCACTTCGGAGAGTTGGCCAGGGAGTTAGCGGGACTGTCATGTCCTCCTTTTGGGGACTTTTAGCATACCCCTATATTAGACTCTCGTTAGGTGGGAACCAAAACCAACAGTATTGTATGTCCTGACTCAAAATTAACATAAAGAACACTTAAGTCATTACCCCTTGAATTCGTGCCAAATTTATCTCCAGACTCCAATCCTCCTCCTCCTCCTCCTCCTCCTCTCTCTCTCTCTCTCTCTCTCTCTCTCTCTCTCTCTCTCTCTCTCATCTTGCCCGTGAAGCCCCTGATGCCCCTCCCATTCCTTCTCCACCTGTCCCTCCTAGGCTGACCATCCACTCGCGGTAGCTGTGAGGAGTGGCGGCAGGTCAAGATGTGGCGGCGGTTCCAGTGGTGCAAAGTGGATCTGGTGCCTTGTCACTGTAAGGTGTGGATGCGGCTCTAGTGCGCATAGAGCTACTCGGTGTGGGGTAAGCTCTCTAGGCACGAGCAGAGGAGCTTCTCGGTGCACAGGTGTGTCCCAGGTGTGGGGGCTGAGAGGCGGCGATGGGGGAGGCGGGGAGGGTAGGTGACAACAACGAAAGATGCGCATGCAACAACAACGACTTACTCCAGATTGTTTTCTTTTCTTAAGGCACATCACTGCCATTTGTATCACCAATAGTAGTAGCCCCTCACCATCATTGCCAACTATGCACTGCTGGTTCCAAGGTCCGGCAGTGATAGGCCTCTAGAATCGGCAATGATAGGCTTTTAGAGTGATAGCGTTGAAAAGTTGGTTTCACTCAGTTGACGCCGAATAGAGATATGGATCACGCACCAGCAAGGTCTAGCGTGCCCGAGGTTGTTGTCGGTGTTTCGAACAAACACCGGCTAGTAAATTTATAATTGTTGCGCTTTAGGCCCGGATGGTGCACTGGACACGAAGTTTATACTGGTTCGGGCCGAACGTCCCTACGTCCAGTCTGCTGCTGCTCGTGTTATTAGTACCAAAAAAGGTTCGTAGTAGGGGGTACAAACGGTTCAGAGAGGGACGGGTCCCAAGTCTCTGATGGAATGGTCGAAAGGTTGCCGAGAGCTTAGTCGCTGCTCAGCTGTGCGTGATATGTGTTGTTGAATCATATCGATTGATCTCTTTATGAGTTGATCCATCCCTTTAGCGGGG